CATTTTTCAATAAATTACTTTAAATTTCTTCTTAATTAATTTAGAGCGGTTTGACTAAGACTTAGAAAAATGGCACGATTTTTCCAGCTACTTGTAATCTATTGTATTCCCAAATATTTTCCGAAGCTTACTCAAAGCCTTTTGCATTAAATAACAAATTATATTGTTAGGGGGGCTTTCATTACGTATAAAAATGAATGAAGAAGAGATTCGTTGGTCGATCTCATCAGATGGGACGGATGAATCTTGTTGCACTGCAGCCGTTTTGCTTTTATTTGATATTCATGCTGACGCAGTCCACGAGACTTCCTCTCTTGTTTCGGGTAAAAACGTGCTAAGCTTTCTTCCATCATTCGATGGACATCATCAGAGCTGGGTGACATTCTTGAAAAAGTCTCACGTTAACACTTGGTCAAGAAGACTATCCGGCTCTCTCTTATTTCTCACAAAGACTCAATTGAGCCAAAATAAAATTAAAAACCTAGATAGATCGGTATAGAGTGGTTTGTTTAATTATCTTTCCTACGGGTCCTGTTACTTTTGCTCGAGTGTGTGCGTGTTAGCGTCTATATGCCCGAGGAAGTTTCGTGGACTGCGTCAACATGAATATCGTATAAAAGCCAAACGTCTGCATTATAGCGAGATTTATCCTTCCTCATCTGGTGAGATCGACCAAGCAATCTCTTCTTCATTCACTTTCATACGAAATGAAAGTCCCCCTAACAGTGACATATTAATAGATTCATCGAAACCCAGTTTCTATTCGTATTAACAAATTATACAAAAATACAACAAATGAGAACATATTTTATAATATATTGATAAAATATAATTGGTAGGCCAGGTAACTCATTATTTATTTCTCAGTTAAATGTCTTTTATTCTCACCTTTAAACGTTTTGCCTTATTCCATAATGTTGGTAACATTTTTTTCCCATTCCTTCACGATTTATAGACCCCTTAGGCCCAACCATTTTCTTCGTCTTCAGTCTGCCTTCTCGCTACTTTCCGCTAGTCAGCAGGTCGCCCATTCTCCACATGCATTTCTTGATCGCTGTTTAGTCCAATTGGCTCGTATGACTCACCGTCTTCTCCAAGAGGTGCTGCCTCCTGCAATTCCTGCATCAGGCTCCTCCAGCGGTGTTGGGAGCTCACAAACGGGAATTGGCACTGCCACTCCCGTGTCATCTTCTTCCTCTGCACCTGCTGGGCGCACAGGCTCCAACATATCTGCAGCATCCACTGCCTCTGGCATCGCGTCAGCAGTTGTTGCTTCTCAGAGCCACGACAGCGCAACTTTAGCACGTGAATATGCCTAAACACTCATTTTTTCCCTATTCCATACATTTTTTTCCATACCGGAATGAGCATGCTCATAAAATCCTATGAACGTTCCACAAGATTGTGTTTAATATTATTGGGATTCTCCTCAGTGGTAACGTATTTTGAGCTAGTTTTGTTCCTTTGTTATGCGCACAATCACGTTTTGGGTCTTACTCTTATGTGGTCCAGCTTGACCCAAGGTTACATTAATTCCATTAGAACTAATGATTTACTCACTTTCCGTCACAGTAAATTTATCAAAAATGAAAGCATAAGATGTAATTCTTCTACAAATTCTATCAGCCTATATTTTATCACTTTTATATAGGCCCAATATTTAACTAAATCCGTTGTTTTACCAAATTTAATCAATGTAGTCTCCTAAGTTGGTAAATTCATGTGGGATTTCATTTCCTACCTACATTCCCTATTATTTAACACCTTAATACCCTTACTCCAATCCAATATTTTGTGTTCATTATATATATATATATATATATATACATTTGCACAAGCATGTTCTTATCTTAATTTCATTTTTATATCCAAGGACTTTCTCTCGATCTAATTTTTCATTCCTTACGACCTTAACATGAGTGATTTTAATTTTTGCTCTGACTTCTCAACTCTCAGAAATTACTGAGCTTCTGATTACGGGCCTCGAGCTGATCAAGTCACGCCTTCATGTAGTCAGCAATGACGTCCGCAAAAATCTTTTTGGGCCTGACCTTTGCCTCATCCTTGATCGGGTTCGCGATGCCAAACTTTTTCGGGCCGCTGTTCGAATCCTGCGCGATTGGTCTCTTGGCACTCAATCGCCTCCTCCCACTTACCCTCTCTCATTCTCATTTTCTACGTCATCCTCAACCTCTTCTCTCTCTGGAGGCAGACACGATGATTACAATCCGGGTGGGGGTGGAGCTGGAATCGGCAGTTTCTCCACCCACTCGGAGTTATCAGCTGCAGCAGCAACAGCAGCTGGGCCTACTGCTCGCGAGATGGTCGCCTGCTATTCACGTCTCTGGCAGGCTTATCCAAGATGGGTGGACCACTCAGAGATTGTTCAAGAGATATTCAGATGTGTCTATCAAGTGAGTAGGCCGCTTTTTTATGCTTAACACTCTGAACTGGCTGGTTTATCTTTTCATTTATATATTCTTACTTAAGATTTGCCTCATTATGACTAATATGCTTATTTGTTGTTGCTCTTGTAATCACTTTTGTTTTTACTGGATTAATATAAAATGTAAAAATAATAAGGCTTTCTTACGAGCATCTCACCGACCAAGAACAGGTATCAACGTTGAACCAACGTTTGTTTCCTTAATACAGTCGTTTTGAGCGATGAACTATTCTTTTTTTAACACCACTGCAAATGATGCCATAATACTTTATTTCAAATACCTACTTTGCTCACTGAATTTCCTACTGTCAAATATATATCCATTGCGCATGGATCTTAATGCTATTATTTTTTTCTTCAAATCACTTACAGATTTATTCGGGTCCGAGTCTGAAAAATCACGATTTATATAATAAGCTGGAGCAAGCCTTCTGTCTTGGTTTACTCTCACCCTACCCCGAAATCCGCCATCGTTTCCTCGATCTCTATCTTGTTGGTTCCAATCTTCGTCCTGCTCCATCCATTCCAGCCGACGATCAATCTGGCCACAGAGTTGCTTCGACTATCGCTTCTGAATCTATGTTCGCTTCAACGCGACAAGCCAATCTCGTGGACAAGTTAATCAAGTCAGAGGCGCCCTATTCGCTGTGTTCACCTGCTGTGTGCAAAGACAAATTTGCAATCCCAACACATAAAATAGCAGTTTCTTCTACTGCGACTTCATCCACCAAAAGTACTTGTTCGCTTCTGGTACGCCTACTCTTTTTATTAGTATCAAACGTTTGGGATGAGGCTTATTTTAAAGACGCATTCTGGTTGCCTCTTTTCTTAGATGTGAGTTTTCATTTTCATTATTTCAGTTTACTTTCTTGTTTATTTTTCTTTGCTCAGCATTTTCTATCCATGGCTATGCATTTCACATGGTTTTGTTGTTTCTATGTTAATATCCTTCACTTTGTGCATCTTGAACTAGGATAAACGAGCTGGCTTTTATGTTGATCTCTTCATCCTTGGTGATGCAAATCATTTTGAACAGTCTGATGCATCTTATATTGCGTATAAATTTGGCCAACTTGGAAAGCTTTCACACTGCCCTCCGAATAAGTAAAGCTGTTGCCTCTAATGAACCTGATATTCATAGATAAAAGGGCTTAGCATTTTCGTCATCTATTAATTTTTTTCACTAGGTGGAGAGATGCTAGAATTCATGACCATAATTCTTCTCGTGGACCATTCCTTGTATGAATTCTACTTTAAAATAAATAGTACTCATGTCCATTTGCTACATGGAACAAACGCTTAAATATAAAAGGCTATAAAATTTGCTTTTAGGGTTTCACACCTTCCAATTGACGCTATAGATTGACTACACCTGGATGCTCAGATTAAATGTTTCCATTTAAAGTCTGTAATATATGCCATTACCTCGGTTTGGATGCAGTTAAATCTCATCTCCTTGTAGGCATAAGATTTATTGCATCCTAGGCATATTAGATAATTAGGGCATGAAACTTTTTTAATGCTACTCACACCATGCAGCCGCTTTAACACGAACGTAGTAAAGCTACCTCTTTATGCCACATATCTGGACCAGTATTCAATATTCAGCTATTTAGCGTCACCTTAAGTTATTCGGCTTGTTCTCCTGGAATGTGAACTTTTCTAAATAGTCCCATAGTTGACTATACTATTCTTGATATCCCACTTTTAGCATTGCGAGAAGCAACATTTTCCACCTATAAAACAATTGAGTCGTAAAATGTGATGCATTTTTTGGATATTGCTAGTCTCGTTCATCATCCAGCAACGATCTCCATTTTAGTCTTTTATCAAGACTAATTTAATCGACTTGCCTTTATTTTGTTTGTGAATGATTGATTTTAAAAATTCATCCTTCGCTCTTAAGGTGATTGCGGCTTCTCTTGGTATGCAGTATGGCTTTCTTAGTGACTTCTGATCGAGGAAAATCCTAGAACTATATTCCACTTCCTTTGAAAATATGCTAAGCTTTCATTTTTCAGGAGGAAATTTCTTCCTTATTTTGATTACTTGGACTTATACATTGCAGTTCATGGGGATCAAACATCAATTTATCACCTACATATCAAGAGATTACCCTAAAGTTATTTTTTTAGATATGTACATATTTATTTTTTTAATTTAGCCAAATCATACAATTACTCGCGTTGTTTTTACCAATTTATACATCACTGCGCATTGACGCTTCTCACCAAATTTTAAGCGCAAATCCCATAGACTGAAGCAAAGGTATAGCCCTATAGCCTTAACCTGGTTGAGACTAATAATGAACTACGATGCCCTGCGGCAATTCGTAATTCTAACAAGAGCTTTAATCACCATAGGTCACTCCAGATTGTAAATTGACTAATAGTGAATATTCCCACAATTATACGAGTAGCCCTTTGATGCTAGTGAATTTCGCCTAGTTA